TATATATTTAAATTTTTACTCTTTAAATAGTACTCAAGAATAAATATGAATAATCTGCAACAATGATAAATTGCACACATGTATTGTTGAGTAAAGTCACAAAAAGTGAATACTATAATTCTGTTCAAATAAAATACAAAACAGGTAATCAAATGCATGCTGCTAGGAGGCAGGACAGTGATTACCATAGGAGAGGAAAGAAAAGAAACACAAGAGTAACTTCTGAGGGACTAGAATGTCCCGTTTCTTGCTTTGCTGGCACACGAATATATTCATTTTATGAATATTCAGTGAATTGTACATTCAGGGTATGTACAATTTACTCTATACTTCAATAAAAGAACTAAGAAAAAAGAATGCCTACCCACTGGAATGAAGAGTCCACCATCTTCCATCTCTTCTTCAGTCTGGTGACCTAGAGTCCTAGGTGGTTTTTCTTGAGAAGAGGAACAGACACTTGGCTGGAATGATTTCCTAGGCTGGGTCTCTGGTTTTGTAGGGTGGCTGTCTAGAGCCAGCAAAGGTATCTCCCCTCCAGGATGCATCTGAAGTTTTCCTGAAAGAATAATATATACTCATCCACACTGTGCCTGTTTAACCATACTCTGTTGTAAAAACTAATATCTCATTAAAAAGTCATTTTCAGTAAAATAATTTTGCAAACTAAATATCATTGAAAATGGATTCTTCTCATTTAAAATTATCCTTCCCTATTCTCAAAAGAAACTCTACAGTCACAATAATCAAAACAGCCTGGCACAGGTTCAATAACAGATGCATAAACCAACAAAACAGAATGAAGAACTCAGAAATAAATATATCCATTTACTCTCGTTTACAAGGATTCAAAGTTCTTTCAATGAGAAAGAACTAGTTCCTTAATAAATAGTACTGATGCTTCAACAATTTAGATCCTCCCAGAAGAGCTGTGGGTGAGCATTAACATCACTGGTAAGTATACTCGTTTTCTCCTGGACACAGAGCCTACTAATTGGTCCTAAAAGCCTTCTGAGGTCCCAACTCTTCTCACTATTTCTTAGTTGTTGGAATGGACGGAAAACCTCTTAAGCAGTTCCTTACTTCACCTCTGCCTTGCATGCGGACTTCCGAGTTGTAAACCAACCCAGTGGTAGATGGAATTT